GAAAATACTACTCGCTCCCCCTTCCTCTCTCTCTCTCTCTCTCTCTCTCTCTCTCTTTCTGTATCTATTTCTATCTCTATCTCCATTTCTGTCTGTGAAACTCGTGGCCGCATAAACCTGGCTGTCTGGCCAATTATCCTTTGATGTGCTTATTCGTACGTTGCAACTCGCATTCGACTCCACTTATTTCATAAGCTAAGAGACGAGAGAGGGAGAGCCGACTAATATTCATCATTCGCTCTTCTCTCGCGAAAATCAACAGTTACATATTCTGTTTGCCGACGTCTCGCTTCGCCGCTCGGCGCTATCGGGCGCCCTTTGATCCTCGCGATGAATATCGTCCGTTTGCGTCGACAATTACGAATTGAGTAATGAGATGAAATACGTGGTGCCGACGACTCGTTCACGATCAACGTAGAATCAAGCAGTTGAATTCACTCGCAATCAAGTTCGCGATATACATATTCGATGAAAATTATCATATCTTAATGTGTACAAGTCATGTGCGTTTTGCACTTTCGTAAAGTATTCGTACGTATCGAAAAAAATTAATCTTGATTCTCGATTGACTCATCAAACGTCATTCGAATTTTATATGGAAAAAATATTTTTGTTGGCAAATTTAAAAATTCGGCCAGATTTGAAAATATGATAGATATATTTGATTGATAGATTTGAAAATAATTTTGTTGAGTGCAAGATTAAAATTTTTTTTACATTATTGTTACGTTTAAGTGTCCTACATAATAATTTTGATGGTTCAACAAAATTATTTTTAGATCTGTATCCGACCAAATTTTTATATTTGTCAGCAAAACTGTTCGCATTATCGATAATTGATAATTGATAATTTAGATATATTCTATAGAATTATATTTAACAAAAAATTATAAATTTCAGTAAGATATTAGATGATATAATATATACCTCATTCTTGACACGCGGATAATCTTTGCCCTTCACGCGACTCTCACAATGAACAAAGAGAGAATGGATAATGCTTGACCATTTGCACATACCAGCTGTACATTACTCGCCTCAAAAGCACCTCTGTTACCACTGAAAGCGCCCTTCGAGGCTATTTGCCAAATGATTTCCCGCTCGAGATACTCGTCTGTTTGCTGCATGCTGCATACTCACCATAACTGTAATGCAGCATTTGGGAAAGGTTGTGTATCCGTCTCTTTCCAAGGATACTTTGATGACGAGATGATCATCTCTATCATCATTTTACAGCCCATGCATTGCAAAACAGTTGTGATCGGACTAACAACTGTATAACAAGAAGCGTAAATGTAAGCATACGAAATACTGAAATATTAAAATCATAATAAACATGTTTTTTAATTATCTTAATTGTTTAATCGTTTTTCTTGTTTTTATTCAATAATTATGCTTCAATTAGTTGGGACAAGCGTAAAATTAGTATACTTACGCATTTAACATTAAATAACGGTATGTAATTATATATGCGCGTTATTCAACATTTTAATTATTTTAATTATTTGTGTATCTATAATTAATCTTTGTTAATATTTTAGCTGTGTTTCAAGTAGGATTCGATATATTATTATTAACATTTTAAGAACTCTTTTTATAAAAAAAGGAGCAATACCAATCTTTGTTATGATTACAAAAGCCTTTCGACATATGTATTCGCGACATTTACACTCATTCCTCTTAATATCGTGTTTGGCTTAATCCGAGAGAAAAATACGACGGACAGGCATTAATGAAATGAAGATGGCTTTTTTATTTTTAGATAGCCTTTATCCCCACTGTATACTCACTGTATCCGGCACCAGATGCAAAATTCATGTAAATATGGAATCCTCTTTATGTTTTTCATGTGTGTTCGCCATTCACGGTCGTCACTGAAAAGCAGGGTTATCGCGGAGATAAAGATTTTCGTTTCACAGTATAACGCTCATTATATGGTAACAACCACATCTCTGGATCTATGTGAGATTTCGCGAGAGCGTTATTCGTTAAAAAAAATATGATAAATCTAACGTAATAAATCTACCTGCATGAAACCACATGCTGAATGTCATACGCTCGCAGAGCATTTAAGAGTTTTTATAGCACGTGAAAGTATCACGTCTTAAATTTGTCATTATATAATATAATTAAAAGAATTAATTAAAAATTATACCGCAGTAAGAAATAGATAGATAGAAGAAATAGTAGCAAAATTTATTGTATACAAATATGTGAAAAAATCAACTTCTTATTCCAATTTCTTCGAGATGTTGTTTCTTTCCGTTTTATTTGTAAAACAGAAACGTAAAGTAGAATCATAGAGAAACTTATAATTATGAAAATGGATCGTCTTCAAAGAAATTCCAAGTGACTCGTAACTTTGTGCTTTCCTCTTCACCAGAAGATTCGGTGGCCACAATAGAAGTAAAGTTTCTTCGATGCGTAAGACTGAGATAAAGTCGGTTGCTCGATGAAATCGTAAAGAGAGAAAATTATCGCGACGCGAAAAGTTGGAGTCCCTATAAAATCCCGGTGATAGGTAGAAATTGTTAAATATTACCGACAGGAAGTGCTACCAAGGTTTCCATCGAGTGAAGGAGCTACCCGTTACGTAGTCTTCGGAAGACTTTCGGGATAACGAGCCGCCTTAGCCTCGCTTGAAACGACCCAATTCTCCTGTGGGAATCCGCCGAGGCGGAGGTGGTCGCTCTGGGAAGAAAGCTCGATAGTAATATCGATCGATAGACAGAGAGCGAGACTAACGGATAGAGATAAACCGAAGAGTAAACGAGTCCGACAAAGAAGGTTTATGATCGTTTGTCCTTTCGCGGTAGAAAAAAAATCAAGCTTATCGAGCAGGAAGGAATCCCTTCCGGGTCACTTTCTGCGAAAGACAGACTATGGCCAGCAGGAAATAATAAAAAGAATTTGTGATTGCAAAAACATCAGATTGCAAAGATGATGTAGAGACATAGGAAATTGATGATGTATTACATCAGTGTATGTGAAAATGTCTCAATGTAGTAATTTATTATTTAATATAAACGTTAATATAAATACAGGGATTTGGTCATTGTTGCTCACGTTTGTCGATTATAAAAGAAACAACAGAGTCGCAGGAAAAACTGAAAAAATAAAAACATTTAATTATTTTACAAGAATTGTTGTTCTTATCATGGCTGAATTAATCTCATCGTCAATGTTATTAAAAATGGATGAATAATGCCTCATAAAGACATTATACATATCATATATATACGAAAAAAATGCTAAATGCTTCTCATGTCCACACTTTCATATTATTTTCTCTTTGCCTTCGTAAAAAAATATTAACGGGACGCATTACTGTAATCACTTCCCCGGAGGATTCATCAGAGTACCAACAAGAAGGAAAGAAGGAAAGTCGAATCCGAAGTTCGATACAAGATCGCTCATTCTTTTTATCCAATTGAGAGAAAAAAATCGAGTTTTCTGAGCGGGGGAACAAATCCCTTGTACTTTTCGCAAAGTTTTCTGTAAAGACATACTAAGGAGGGGGTAAAGAAGAAAGAAAGAAGAGAGGGGAATGTCCCTAGTTTTCTTCCTTGTGCCGGCAACCCTCAAACTCGTGATTTTCATCTTTCCCCTTGGTCTTTGTCCTTCTTGTTCGCTTGAATCATTACTTTATCTTTTTTCCACCTTTCACATAGAGATCGTGTCTTTCGTCTTTTGGTTTAGTCCATCTTCTGCAACCCCTAGTCTTCCGCTGATATCTTCCCGCGACTTCTTTCATCCTTTTGCGAAATTTTTTTCTCGCAAGTCTCCTCCTTTTCTTCCGGTTTGTTCTTTTAGCATTATCGTTCGTTTACGTTTCCACATCTTTGATTATCTTGTTTATTCCTTTGAGAGTTTCTTTTTTCTTTTTTCATTCGCTTCCTTTTTTCATTGTTCGAAAACATGCGCAATTCTTATGTTTGTAGTTAAATTTTCGCTTTTAACATATTATTTAAAATTTAATCAGAAATATATCGCAAAATATTCTGATAAAGGCAAGACAGTGACATGACTAAAGAAGCTTTTATCGCAGAAAAGTTTAATAAGTCTTTCAGCGTTTACTTTAGATGACGTCAATTTCGATTATTTTGTCCTGTACTTGACTGAACTTTGCTGAAGAAGAATAATAGTTTTGATTGATATTAAGTAAATACATATATGTAGATAATAAATCCGATGCTTTTTCTTCCTTTTATTATCTTTCTCTCTTTTTATACATTTCTCATTCTTCACTTAAATATTCTCGTTTCTTACTGCATTTTTCTTTATTCTATTACTCATTCTTTTCTCTTTCGCTTTCTTTTTGACTTCGAGGGTATTAGTTACGCTACTAGACGAAGAGAAAACACTAAGCGAAACGGAGATGCATCATAGACGGAAAGTCAGTAGTATTAACCGTGTGGAATATACGGTAAACATACGTCACTCGCATATTCGTTCAATTTTCGCGGAGTAAACTGCATCCTGCTACTACAGCTGCTTTCGGTTGGAGTATTTGCGGTATGTTCGGCTTGTATATTCCGTGTGTGTATATTTAATGGAAGTTTCCCATGGTTTGTCCATACGGTATTGACGTTTCTGGCTATCGCAAATAACATTGTTTTATACGATTGTTTTATGTGCAAGTGCGGCACATACAAATGAATAGTCCAATCCGATGCCACGAGAATTGTTCCTAGCAATAGGGATTTATTTGTCTTATTTGGAGAAATTGCTAGAAATAGCATCGTAAAATAATATCGATCAAAGCGTAGAGTACACAAGAAACAAAGTTTGAGAGAGAGAGAGAGAGAGAGAGAGAGAGAGAGAGAGAGAGAGAGAAACAAATTTAAAGTTAGTCCCCTTACACGAATCCTATTACATTCATATTTGTTGAATCAAAGATAGAAAGATAGAAAAGAAGTGAGAAAAGAAGTGATAAAGATAGAAAAGAAGTGAAGTTAGTCTAGAAAAAGTAGTCTATACTAAAATATGGAAAGATGAATTTGTATATTTCGCGTGTTATACAATACTTGCAATATTGCGCGATTCTTGCAATACTTGGCGGTGAGACTTATAACGAGAAATTCGAATGGGACGCGGCATGATGTAAATGTAAATGTAGATTATTTCCGGCCGTGTCGATGGGGATGGACCAACGATACATTGGGGAATGCATGACCTGACGAATTAATTAAGGACAGGATTATGACGCTCAACGGCATTGTAGCAGCTCACTTTACGACCGGAGTATTTTCAGCGTTCAGCAAAACATCGCATATAAATGTGCAAATTTGAATTAAAAGCTCACTGCTAAAAATTATAATGAGCAAATATCATGTATTCGATGATCTTTGCATAATTATCAATAATCGAGATAAAACATATTTCGTTGTATCGCATAGATTTTTGTAGTTAGCATATAAATATTTATTCTATACAAAATCGGTCTTTTATTGTTTTTATATAACACATGCATTTTATGTCGACTGTCCTAAAACAAGTAGCATGTATAATTAAATTTAAATTTTATAAAATTCTGAATTATAATATTTTAAATATTATATTTAAATGAAAAATTGTATATTAATATTTATTAAATTACTTATGGTTAGCGAAATTAGCTTTTGTTAGCAAAGCTTTTCAAAATAAAAATGTTATTATTGATTAATTAAACGCAGCTTAATTAAGAAATGCTCGCACATGATGATTTGTTAGTCGTTCAAATACAAACCGGCGTTTAACATGATAAAATGCCAAAATAATTCTTCTCTCTAATTAGAATAATAAAATTTTAAATTTTCAAGGTAGAAGAATTATTCACTCAGAAAAATCGATCTTTAATCCTTGTTCTTTTTAGTATCGAAAAAAATTAAATTTTTATATTTTTTTAACTTTAAAACTTTATTTTTTCGATAATGTCGTTACGTTCGACCGGATAAATTGGATCGATGCAAGCGATCATAACTGAACAAATAAAACGGCGCGCATCAACAATTATACGTTTACACGCATCGTGTTTATCGAAGCGCATAACGTACGTTAATAAATTTCATATCGACATGAAATCAAATTTCGCTTCTACTTCGTCGAATTAACCAAATGAATTCTTACCCATGCGTATTTACGCACACTAATAACGTATCTGCGTACGTTTATATATCGGTTATAATTTGTGTTTGATGTAAAATTAAATTTTGCTCTTACTTCGCCGTAATACTCGAACGAAATCCTCACCCATGCACATTTATACGTATCAATAACGTGTTCGGGCATGTATTTATGAATTGGTGATAATTCATACTTTACGCCAAATGACAATTTTGCTTTTATTTTATCGAATTAACGAAATTAGTTCTTCA